ATTTCCTCCAAAACATACTGTGGAAATAGGTCTGCTAACTGAATTTATCAGCAGATTTCTGTCGTTATTGTATGATTGTTACCACCGATGATATTAGTGTAAAGAAAACATTTTCTTGTTAAAGAACTAAAGTCTTTTATTAGTTTAAAAGGGAGTGGGAGAGAGGGAGGGAGGGAAGGAGAAAAAGGAGGAGTGGAAGGGAGAGAGAAGGATATTCTTACTGGGTTCTCAGTTCTTTCAGTACTTTAGAGATTTCACTCCCATGTCTTCTTACTTGTGCAGTTTCTGATAGAAGTCTGCTATTCCTCCCAACCCCCACTCCTGTTGCCTTCAAGTTTTTTTCTTTGTCTTTGTTTTTGATATCACTAATTCTGGAAGATTTTCAGCAGATATTTCTTCATATATTTCTTTTCCTCTATTGTTTCATTCTTCCGCTTCTAATTATAAATGTGTTCGAAAATTGGATATTGTCCACAGTTCTGTGCTTTTGTGATATATGATGATCTACTTTCTATCTCTATCGAATCTCTTTGCATTGCAGTTTGGATGATTTCTAGTGGCTTATGTTCACGTTACCTAATTCTTTCTATATCTCTATTGAGTCTACTGGTGAGGCCTTCCAAGGCATTTTTCATTTGTTACTGTGTTTTTAATTTATTACATTTTCTTTGGTTCTTTTTTTATAATTTTCATATTTCTGCTGAAATTACCTCTGATCTTGCATGCCATTTATCTTTTCCATTAGAGCCTTTAACATATTAATTATATCTATTTTAAATCCCTGTCTGTTAGTTCCAACATCTGTGTCATGTCTCAGTCTGGTTCTAATGATTGCTTTGTGTCTTTAGACTGTTTGTTTTTGTCTTTTCATATGTCTCTGAAATTTTTCTTTACAGCTAGAAATGTTGTATGGAATGATAGATATTGAGGTAAATATATTTTATGCTTGAAAATGAGCACACCTTTCCTTCTGCTAACCTTTATTGTGGGAGTTTGTGTAAATCTAGTCAAGAGTTAAGACTGGGTTTGAAGTTTGCAGTTTAGTTATTAGAGTTGGTTTGTTGTTAATGTTCAGAGATTTTAAACTTGTTTAGTCATACGTTGTTTTTGTCTTCTCACTTGGCTTTGAGTCTTCCCTTCGTTTTGCTCCCCAGAGAAAGTCTGTCTCATGAAGAGCCCTTAGCTATATTTCATTGTTATTCTTATTCAACGTTTGCTAGCATGCTGGCAAGAGGTGAGGAAGGGGGACATTCCCTGATATTTTGATTAAGACTCAATCGTAAACAGGTATAGTAAAGTTGAGTCTCGAGAATGTGGACTTTACATGTTCCTACTTCTCTTTCAGAGGCAGAAAATTTTTTATCCTTGTTTTCCTCTCCCACTTGCAGTAGGTATCCACTTACTTCAGGCTATGGTTGTGATGCTCATCCTTCTGCAGATGAAAACTTGTTACTTTTCAGAGATAAGGGAGATGGTTCTGGGCAAAGTTGTGGCTTTCTTTCTCCTCCTTCAACTGCAATGAAATTCTACCAGTACCCTACCCTGCAGATGAATTTTTTTTTTTTCTACAGTGGAGATGAGGTAGATTAGGTCTGGGTAGATTTCAGCAGTAGCTGTTATTCCCTTCCTGCAGGTAACACCATTGGGGAAGCTATTTTCTGTATTCTCCTTCATCTTCACTGCAAGAATCTTATGGGCTTCTTGAGAAAAAGCTTAAAAGGTAGTGGGAAATACCTTATATTTGTGGTCCCACTATTCTATACTCAACTCTTATGATTTTATTAAAAATTTATAGTTTAATATTTTGACCAGCCTAACATGTTTAACAGTATCTGTCCAAGATAAGCAAATATTCAGCTCCTATTTCTCCCTGCAAATGCCTGTCTGTTTCCAGATTTTGAGTAAGTCATTTGCCTTGCAAACTCAGTTCTCTTCAGGGTTCAAATAAAGTCACTAATTTTCAGTTTATCCTTTTTTTTTTTTTTAAATGTTGTAAGAGGAGAGAAATGCCATTTCCAGTTCTCTATATCTCTGAACACATGCTGGTCTTCTTTCCCATTTTTAAATTGGTTTGCTTTTCTTTTTATTAGTTGTGAGAGTAGAGTTCTTTATGTATTCTGGACACAATTATTTTCTCTAATGTATGTTTTGAAAGTATCTTCTGATCTGTGGCTTCTCTTTCCATTTTTATAACAGTCTTGAAAAAAAGCATAAATGTTCATTTTGATGAAAGTGCAACATATCAAATGTGTCTTATATGATTCTTGTTTTTTGTATCCTAAGAAATCTTTGCTTAATCCAAGGTCACAAAAATTTTCTCCTGTATTTTTACCTAGAAGTTAATATTTTTGGTTTTATATTTAGGTCTATAATCTATTTTGAGTTAATTTTTGTATACGGTGCTTGGTATGGATTGAGTGTTCTTTTTTGTTTTACAGCTGTGTTTTTATATAGACAAGCAATTGTTCCAATACTATTTGTTAAAAGTTTATTCTTTTTCTATTGTTTTATTCCCCTGGCACCTTTGTTAAAAATTATTTAACAACACGGGTTTGAACTGCACAGGTTCATTTACACATAGATTGTTTTTCAATAAATAACATGGGTTTTGTATCTGCAGATTCAACCAACAGCTGATCAAAAATATTTTCAACACACTGTTTGGAATCTGCAGATGCTGAGGGCCAACTGTATGCATTGTTCTACATAATTTTATATAAATGACTTGAACACCTGTAGATTTTTGTATTTGTGGGGGAGGCCTGGAACCAACTCCCCTCCCCACCACATTCTGAGGGCTGATTGTGTTAAGTTTTTGAAGAGTCAAAAGTTATTTGCAGATTTTCGACTACATGGTGTCCCTAACTTTCATGTTCAAGGGTCAACTGTATATAAAATGACAACAATTTTACATCTCTCATTCTATTTTATAGCTGTATTGTACTCCATTATACATGTACCATAATATATTCAACCAATCTCCTATGTTTGGAAGTTACGTAATTTCCAATATTTTGCAGTTACACAATAACTAACTTCATGCATATATATTTTCATATTGTTAAAAGTCGTGCCTTCAGGGTAAATTCCTAAAGTTTTTTTGCTAGGTGAAAAGATAAATGCATACAAAGGTTTGTTAGATATTTCAAAATTTCCCTATAAAATATTGTATTTTCATTCTTACCAGCAATAAATGAGTGCCTGTTTTCCCTCATAACTTCACCATCAGAGTGTATTGTTAAACTTTTAATTCTTGCCGATTTCATGATTGAGAAATAGTATCTCAGTGTAGTATTAATTTGCATTATAAGCAAAATTGACCACCTTTTTATATGTTTAAGAGCTATTTTTATATCTCTCTTATGAATTGGCTTTTTATGTCTTTGGCTATTTTCCTATAGGATATTTTAAATGTTTTTTCTCCATTTTTAAAATGTAGTTTTGTGTCAGGGATAATAGGCCTTTATCTGCTAAACAGGTTACAAATATTTTCTAATAGTTTGTGATTGTCCTTTGATTTAAGTTATGTTGCTTTTTACCATGCAAACTTTTCATTTTC